AAAAAAAAAAAAAAAAAAAAAAAAACAACAACTTACAAAACTTTAGAAGCTGATTATTTAAAGGAAAATTTATAATATTTTTTAACAAAAAAAAATCATCACATTCTATTTTATTAAATTAAATTCTAAAATTGATACGTAATGCAATTATTATTAATTTTTAATAAAATTCATAAAATCATTAATTTCAATAAAATAAATTTGTCCATGCACAAATTAACCAAAATTCATAGATTAAATAGAAATCAAAGAGAAAAATTATATATATTTTAATTCGGAATCAAGGAACTGACCTGAAGCGGCGAGATGTCCGCCGCGAAAAACTGATCGGCGGCGAAGTATCGCTGATTAAGCTTAGAACACACATCAGATTCCGGCAAACACGTCCTTATCTTCGGCCAATTTCTAGAATTAGTGAGATGATTTTTGAGCCAGGACGAGAATCCGTCGAGCCGATACTCCTTGAATCCTCGGCCAATGACGGTGTAGCTACCGTCGGGGCGAGCGACGACGAAGGTGAAGACGAGGAGGACGAGCAAGAGGCCGATTAGAAGAGCCATACAGAAGAGGTAAAAGGCCAAGAGGCCTTGTCTGTTCCAGTAGGCGCCGATGAAGCCAGCTAAAGAGACGAGGAGGATTAAGACGCCGAGGAGAACCACCGGCCACCGGAAAAAATGGATGCATTCGTAATCAGGCTTTGAAGCTAGCCAAATTCCGGCGCCGATTATGGGGATGGAGCAGAGAAGTGCCAAGAAGTTCACAATTGCTGTGATGTTATTGCTTAAACCCATTGAATTTCTCTCCCAATTTCTTCACCGAGAGAAACTTCCTTATTGCCCTTCCAGTGTGAAGAAAGTGTGAAGCCTTTGGTTGGTTATGTCGTCATGATTGTCGAGGAAAAGGGCATGGGAGTGGGACGACACGTCGTTTCCATGTGTTTCGACCCCGAAAGTTGTACCGTGCAGCCACGTGGCACCCTATTTTCTTTCTTTTTTAAAAAAGATCAAATATTATATCAATTTTGATTTGGGCCGAGGTAAAAAAACAGGCCCAGGGTTCGGTTTGGAGAATTGGGCTTTTGCGAAGAGAGCCCTCAAAGTGTGGAAGAAGTCTACGCTTCGTCACTCGTTGTCCATTGAAATTCTCAAAATCCCAAGCTTTATTTTGTTTCTCTTCCGCACAGTCGCAGAACTCGGCGTTCCACAACCAGCGACGAGAGAACGGCAGCCATTTCTATCTCTTTTGCTATTTCTCGAAGGTGAACGCCTTTTACATTCTCTTCATGTTTTTTGATTTGCAAGTTTCGTCCTCCGTGTCTTGTTTGAACCCTGTTTTTTTGCCTTTTACTGTGTCGTGTGTTTTTCTCTTGTTTCTTCATGATCTATTTATCTACTCTGTGGTATAAGTATTTCGTTTTGTTTGTATAATAGTGAATTCTCGTTTTGTGTGGATGTTTGGATTGTTGTTTCGAGTATTGGATATTGGAAATTGATTAGGGTTTTAGTCTTTTATCAGAGTAATTGAAAAGATGAATGGTTGAGCGATTTGTTACTTTGAAAATTGATTTGACTAAAATTTTCTATTGCTTAAGTTTAGAGGGAAAATTTCTGTGATTTGGGGCACTATTGACGGCGGACTGGTTTCTCCGGATCTTTCTTGCCGACAGTGTGTGTCGGTAGGAAAATTCCAATTCCTCCATTTAGATTCTCTTCACCAGCTAGACGTCGATTTGCGTTCGATGAAGAAAAATTATTAACACTGCCGTGGGTTTCCAGATCTCTATTTACTTTTGCTTTTGACTAAGAAAGTCGAGGATCCAATTGGAAACACGGAGATACATTGATTACTCTTCTCGTTGTCAATTGGTTTTGAGATGAAACCTCATGTTTTCTTATAAATAAGTCATTTTAGAAACGTTAAGAATATCAAAAGTGTTATTGAATGCATGATTACTAGGCTTTCTTTACTCTCGATGTTCCTTTGATATTTCGTAGAGTCTGATGATTAAGTTCTTGTTTCCCACATTGATTGAGAATTTTTGCTACAGTTTTTTAAGCTTTATTTTGAATTGATGGCGTCCAAGTTGCATCAGTTGCAATCCAAGGCCTGTCAAGCTTCTCAATTTGCTTTCAAGCACGGGTCTTCCTATTATAAGCAGTTGTTGGAGCAGAACAAGCAATACATCCAAGAGCCAGCTACTGTGGAAAAATGCAGCTTGCTTTCAAACCAATTGTTGTATACTCGGCTTGCTAGGTCATTACCTTCAATTCCCTTATTATCTTTGCATTTTCCCAATGTGGTTCTCGAATAATTTCCATTGATATTACTTACATGTTTTCCCCGATCCATCATGCTTCTAGGATTGTGCCTGGTAGCTTAGCTTTGGTATCTTACACTTGCATCCAACAGGGGTGACTGTTTAGTTTGTGTTTTCATTTGCTCGTTCATCCATTTCTCGATTCTGTCAACATTTTTCCTATTAATGATTCTAATCAAACCACTTTGGAACATTCACAACCACTCAAGAGCGTTTAAGTTCATTCATTTATTTCAATTCATGGAATAGTATACTCATTTGACCGATTTGGTTATGAACCCCCTATTACCTGTAGCACCATATTTGAAAATGGGAGCATAGATGTACCTACCGTCTGTTGATGAAATTCTATATTATACTCACTCTCGCTCTCACTCGATAAGTTCTATCGTAATGTCTTTGTTATTTACAGTCCCTCATGTGTTAGTCTACACAATCCTTTTAGCCTTTTAATACAAACAAATACAATATCAGAACTCTTACAGCTGTATTACTGCACTGATTTCACTTTATCTTAAGTTAGTTAATTATCAGCAGTACCATTGGACCATTAAAACGTAAACCTAAGATCCTAAACATGGTACTTCCTAAGAATCAGGTTCGCCGATGTACTGACTTCTTTATACGTGGTACGTAGCAAGATGAGCTCCATTGCTTTACTTAACTTTTCACATTACATTGATTATGCAGCATCCCAGGTCGCTATGAATCATTCTGGAAAGAACTTGATTATGTGAAGAACTTATGGAAGAACAGGCAGGAGCTGAAAGTTGAAGACGCCGGCATTGCTGCCTTGTTTGGGCTGGAGTGCTTTGCATGGTTTTGCGCCGGTGAGATCGTAGGAAGGGGCTTTACAATCACAGGTTATTATGTCTGAGATCATCGTCCTCAGTAGTTTGTGGAAGGGATATTCCCTTTTCTTTCCCGCGGGTACTCCGCATACAATTTTTTTTCCTATTAATTCAGGATTCTGTGAGCAACTGTGATAGAGATTAATAATAATAATCCATGAATTCCGAGGGACCATAATGGATCCTAGAGTTGTTTTTCATTGATGCATCTTCTTGGTAATCCAGTTCTTAATTCTCAACTGGAAATCTAATTTGAACTTCTCAGCATTTAATGTGGAGCTTTTTACCAGATGATCTGCAGGTAGTTGTCGTTTGAACAACAATCTTGAGGTATGTTCTAATCCAATATGTGATATCATTTTTTGTCTTCCATTTACCCAAATTTTTGGTTCCATAACTTTTTGTGTTATTTTAATTTGGTTCTTAAAGATTCGACCACATTTCGTATACACGAGTCGATCATTTTTTGTCTTCCATTTACCCAAATTTTTGGTTACATAACTTTTTGTGTTATTTTAATTTGGTTCTTAAAGATTCGACCATTCGTATACACGAGTCGATCATTTTTTGTCTTCCATTTACCCAAATTTTTGGTTACATAACTTTTTGTGTTATTTTAATTTGGTTCTTAAAAATTCGACCACATTTCATATACATGAGTCCGCCTCTATCGATGGTTTAAATAATGTAATTTGAGTTTGATGAGTTATTTTTTATTTCATGTTCTATCAATTAAATAATGTAACATTTTTCAATTTCTAAAATTATCTAAAATTAAATAAGATAGTTGGAAAGAGCTCCGAGAGAGAAGTGGAAAATAAGGAATTATGATGTATCATATACGTCATTGTGAAAACCGAAAACCGCGACATTTCTATTTTGACATGTTGAATGTATTTGTACTAAAAAACCAAATATGAACGTTTGATAGTACACAAATTAAAATGAAATAAGAACCAAATTTTTTATATTATATATTATATTTAATAGGTTTGTAAATTTAGATATAAATTTATTGAGTATATTGTCGGACTTAATATAAATAAAAATTTAAAATTTTTTATTGAGAAATTAAAATTTTGAAGGTTAAAATGAAATCTAACTATAAAATAATAAATAATTAATTAGTGGTCAAAATTACAAAATAATAATAATCATAAATAAAAGAATAATAATGTTACTTCCCTCTTAAGCATTAAAATAGTGATTGGTTATATAAAGTGGGGAGGATATATACATGTGGACCAATTCAACGAAGAGTTCATATCGCAGAGCCAATCGGACGGGAGAGACGCGGTACAGAAAAGCTCCGCCAAAGGAATCTGTTTGTGGTCTGAAGAAGGCGACTGAAGATGGTCTGCAATACCAGCATTTCCCTTCGCAAACAAGTCGCATCGGCGATTTTCCTTCTCCTCGTTCTACTCACCGTCGTCTCCGAGTGTTCCAGTCAGGTAATAATCTGCTCCTTTTGTTATTTTAAGAACTGATGCTGGAGAATTTGGATCTTAGATTCGTACATTTGGTTCTTCAGTCTCCTTCGTTTGTTTCTTGATGTGAAATTCAATTTGTTTGGCTTCTATTCAACGATTTGGATGTTAACGTCAAATTTTCGTTGGATGATAGGTTCAATGCAGTAGAACTTGTGCTTCAGAGAAATGCAATAGTGAGTATATTCTGTGTTTTTATATGAAATTCGTCATCTGTTGTTATTATTTTTTGAATTTTAATTTCTCATCAAATATTTATTTTGTTTGTTTATCTGAAAATTAGCTGTAGGGATTCGGTACGGTAAGTTCTGCGGAGTAGGATGGACGGGTTGTGCTGGTGAAAAGCCTTGCGATGAGCTTGATGCTTGTTGCAAAGATCATGACGAATGTGTTGAATATAAAGGTTATTGCCAATCTATAACTACATGCCTTATTGTTTCCTTTCTATACTTCGCACTGTTTGCGATTCCTCATCATTATACTTGCATAGAAAAATTTCCCATCGATCTATATTCCTGTTTTAGTTTTAAGTTGTTGTGAGACCAATGGGGTGAAATCTGGGCATCCTGTTGTTCAATGAACTCTTTTTTCGGGCATTATTGGTATATTCTCTGCTGCATGCTTGGAAAAAGATACGTATGAGATTCAAATATTCGACTACGATTTCTACCCTTTGAGAATAGAAGAATCGAAATTTGCTTTCCCAACAAGATCTTTCTCAATGAGGCTACCCCTTGTTTTCATGCCCCTTAAATCATTTCCGTTCTCAAATAAATTCCCGTTGAATACTTCATCCTCGGCCTCAAATTTAATTTAAAAAGGGCGACAATCCTCGCATCTTGACTGAACTCAGCGGGTCAAACCATTCACATGACTCCTCGATAGTATGATAATGTCCACTTTGGATATAAGTCTCATACCAATGGAAATGGTTTTCTTCATTTTCCCATGATCTTCCCCCTTCCGTAGTCAATGTGAACCTTTGGTCACACTTTCTACAATCTTCCACCAAATAAAGTGCCATGGAGCCTCCCCGTTCTAGGGCTCACCATCTGTTTGTTTGGCATCCAAAGACTCTTTCAACATGGCTAAGTCAAGAAGGTGATTATGATACCATTACAAGAGTTAGAAAGAGAGAGAAGAGAATGTGATCATAAAAGTACTCCGCTGTTCAACATTAGTGGTTGGAGAAGTAATCCTATTTATAGGACTCTCTGAAACAATATTAACTTACGGTACGACTGTATACTAAAGCAGTATTAGCAAAGATACATCGTATCAAGCTCTTAACAACCAATGAGTTAAGTCTTAACACCTTTGGCTTCTAAATTCTTAACAACCAATGCTAAATGTCATCAAACTCCAAGCCACCAGTTTCTCCCTACCAACATACATCATCAATGGATCCTAACTAAACCTAACCACGGAGAATAGCTACTTCCATTCGAGGAAACTGTTGTCCTATAGTTTAGTCCCGACTTGTGAGCTGCTGGGTTGGCCACATTAATAATGTTAGAGAGGTTAATGAGTTGTTTTTCTAAACCCGAGTCCTCCCAGTTGAATTTTCTTATGGATGATGTACTGCCATTTCCTCTGTCATATGCTTACCTGTGAGAAGCTTCATCAGATTCTTGATACCTCAAGGTTAGGGTGCTTCCTTATACTGCCAGCGTGTAGAGGCTGATTACCATCCTCAAAATGCTTATGCGGTATAATAAACACTTTTGGTTGTTATTAGATTTTTTTGACAGAAGACAAAGAATGGTTGAATAGTCTATTGTGTTCACAACTTTTAAGTCTAATCCTTCGTGTCGTTAACTTCGGAGTAGGATGACAAACTGTCACATGTTAACTCCCTTTTCAAATGCATGGCAGTAAGGACGTTGAACACTTTTGCCTCCCTTGTAGTGATCATTGAGTGGATTACATCAGTAAATGCCTACGAATAGACAGTTATTTATATTATGCACATAGTAGACTTCTGTTTATTACGGATCAGTAAAGCTATTGGCCTCCTGGCCATTGAAAAACAAAATTAGATACAAAATTGGAGATATTAAGGCATGGCCAATCGGCATATTAAAACAAAGAGGAGACACTAGACAGTCACCAATGTTTGGTGTTGCTAAAGTCTATATCTTAGATCTTAGATCTTAGATCTTAGATGTCTTTTATTTATCTGAGATACTACACATTTCAAACTTTGTAGCACTAGATTACAGGAGACCAAGCAATTTACATATATATATACATATATTGGTTCATTTTTGCAATATTGTTGTACCATGTTTTCTTTTTGTTCAATTATGATTTTGGGTGGAATTTTAAGAGTTGGAACTTGAGAGTCACTCTGTTGAATATGTTTTGTTTCAAGACCAATAACAGATATCACATGGGTTTTTCAGGTTTAACCAATATTAAATGTCACATAAAGTTCAAGGATTGTATTACGAAATTGCAGAAATCTGGGATGGCTGGTTTCTCACAGCAGTGCCCTTATTCCATAGCTATTCCTACAATGGTAAATGGCATGGATATAGCCATCATGTTCAGCCAGTTTAGTAGCGGAAAGTTTGAGCTCTGATAGCCACTTTGGTAACTCAACTCGCTCCATCATCCCCGCCCACAATTCATGCCATCAATTATTGCCCATACTCCCCCAAAACAAGGTGGATAGCTTCACACCACTGATTCATTCTTTTAAATAATATTCTATTGGATTAAGAAATCTCAAACAGAGGATTTGATCCTCATTTTTTTGTCCCCTTTAACTGTTATTTGGACCATCTGCACTTTAAGGATGTTTTTAGCATAGTGAAAGAAGATTCCAATAGGCCAAATTATTTCATGTTTGATGCTTCCTCAATAATCAATAGCTGTTAGGTTTTGGTTTCCCTCCTTATTGTGTGTCAAATACTCCATTTTTAAGGAGTCACCCAATGTGTGGGCAGACTGTTGCAAGTTATCTTCTGTTGTTGCCTTTTCGTTTGAAGTTGAACAATCACAGTTTAATATTTTTTGGTCTTATTTGTTGTATGGTTGCAGCCTTATATGCACCTAGGTGTTGGTCTTTCCATTTTAATGCTCGTTTTTTTTCACCGAAGGTTTTTTTCTTTTTTTGTAAGGAATTGTAAAAAAGTTATATAATATAACACGATCTAATCTTAAACTTCGAATTCCCCACCGAGATTGAATATAGTTGACTATTCCCATTTTAATCTCTCTGACTTAAATTATATTTATATTTATATCTATATGATAGTTTTGTGGTTGTTTAATTAATTTCATAAAAGAAAAAATAAGCATAAAGTTTATATTGTATAAAAAATTAATGGATTATTTTGTTATTACTCTTTATTTTTTCGTTTAAATAATTGAATTGATTGGTAGTCGGACATCTATATGGTATTTTGATTTTATTTGTGAAGTATAACATTTAGAGGATGGGTAAATAACCTATTCGTAATTTTAAAAAACACAACTAGCTTACTTTATATTGATCTCCATGACGAAGTATTTCATATTTATTGTATTTTTTTTTAACTAGTCCAATAATAGTTTTTATACATTTTTATTACATTTATAAAATATTGATGATAAGATAATTTTAATAAAAATTGTTATAGAGTTGAAACAAAGGAATAAAAAAAGGGGCGTTCCGAGAATCGAACTCGGGACCTCTCGCACCCAAAGCGAGAATCATACCACTAGACCAAACGCCCGTATTTGGTAAGAAATTAGTTAAATAAAAGATAAATAAATAAATATAATATATATTGAAAAATTTTAGGGTTTTTCAGCGAAGTTTTTCACAATATAAGGACCAGTTAGGGCTCAAGAAGCGGCAGACGGAACCAGCGAACTCTCTTCTGTTTCTGCATCTCTCTACCACTTGTTGCAGCGCAGGTCCGTTCGTTCTTCTTGATCTTATTTTCTCTTTTGTTTTCATCGTCTTCAATCAGATTTTGATCCATTTTTCTGATTTCAATTGTGTATGTCTCATTTCAACTGGCATACTTACATCTGTAGCCGATCTCCGTTAGCAATCTTCGGAATATATTTGTTTCTTGTTCATCGGATTAGTTGTTCCGATACTTATTATTGTTATCATTTTAAATCTTATGTAGATGGCGAACGTTCCGGGTCAGTTAGTCTGGGAAATCGTTAAGAAGAACAGTTGTTTCCTCGTAAAAGAGTTTGGCAGAGGCAGTGCTGGTGTTCAATTCAGCAAAGAGCCTAACAACCTCTACAACCTCAACTCCTACAAGCATTCCGGTAAGATTCTAATCAGTCATCTGTTTCCATTTTTACTTCTTTAGTACCATCGTTTAAATATGAGGAAGATATTTTTTCCTCTACATTCATGATCTGTCTTCATCTCGTTGACCCCTTTAACCAGTTTTACCTCAGAGACGATTGGCATTTTGGGTTTTGTTCTAATGTGTTGGGTTTAATACTAATTTGTTTATGGAACTTTCTTTGGGTGCTCTTTCAGGGTTGGCCAACAAGAAGACGGTGACTATTCAGCCAGGAGGCAAAGATTTGTCTGTATTGCTTGCGACGACAAAGAGAAAGAAGCAGAATAAACCCGCGAGTTTGCTCAACAAATCTGTTATGAGGAAGGAATTTTCAAGTATGGCCAAGGCTGTGACTAATCAGGTAACTTGCCTCTCCTTCAATTTTCATTCATGTCCATTGTGATGAAATTTGTGATTCCCAAGTCAGCTCATACCGGTCTTTTGTCAGTTACATATTGTATATAGATTTCCCGTTGAATCTTTTTGTATAAGATCTTACCTGCCCGTGTCTTCAATGAGCAGTCAATGAATCTTTTCTATTTATAGTTTTCTTGGATTTCGTGATTGATTTGAATGTGAAACTGAATGTGCATTGTTGCAGTGATGAAAAGCTAACATGTAAGAAGGGCCACTTTCGTAGTGGCATCTTTGATGAAATCTATTTGTTACGCTTGGCTTCTGAGCATAATTGTCCATTTGCAACCATGTTAAACTAAATCATGTTAAACAATTTAGGTCGAATATTATTGTTTAGGTACTCCCTTTCCATCACTTTTATGAGAAAACTGAACGACCCAAAATTTGACGGTGTTGTACTTGTGGGCAACCGTAAAACTGTTAATGCGATGATGACCTCTTACATGTTTGGAGGTCACCTTTATAGTGGCATCTTCGATGAAATCTTTTTGTAGTGCATGGCTTCATTTCATTTTCCTGTTACTTCCTCGTGTAGCATAATATCAAACTTCTGTTAACATTATACTTCAACAGAAATTTAAAGGAACAACTAAGGGTGGGCACACATATTAACTGTTACTCATGCTGCAATGATGAGCTGTTAACATGTAAGAAGGGTCACTTTCGTAGTGGCATCTTCGATGCAATCTTTTTGTTACGCTTGGCTTCTGAGCAACAATTGTTCTTTTAGTTGAAAACAACTTTGAACCACATAAATTTGCCTTACAAGTTATTGAACAACTTTTAACTGTTGCTGCTATGATGAGCTGCTAACATGTAAGAAGGGTCACTTTCGTAGTGGCATCTTCGATGCAATCTTTTTGTTACGCTTGGCTTCTGAGCGACAATTCTCCTCTTATAGATGAAAGCAACTTCAATCTCTTAAATTTGCTTTGTTTGTTTGGATCTCTGGTTATGTTCCTCAACACTTATATTCATGTAATTTATAATAACTTCCTCATGTAGCATAATATCCAACTTGCTAATATGTAAACCCTAGGGGCGGACAAAAGTTAACTCTTACTGCTATGATGAGCTGCTAACATGTAAGAAGGGGTCACTTTTGTAGTGGCATCTTCAGTGCAATCTTTTTGTTACGCTTGGCTTCTGAGCATAAACTCTCCTCTAGGATGAAAACAATTTCGATCTTTTGTATTAGCTTTGCTTTGCCTGATTGGGTCTCTGATTATATTCCCCAACTTTTTTTTCATGTTATTTCCCGTATCTTCCCCTTAGCATAATATCATACTAAAGCTAATATTAACTGTGTGATGATGAGCTGCTAACATGTAAGAAGCGGTCACTTTCGTAGTGGCATCTTCAATGCAATTCTTTTGTTACGCTTGGCTTCTGAGCATTAATTTACTCTTGGATGTAAACAACTTGGAGCTTTTATTGTGCTTTGCTTGATTGGATCTCTGATAACTTCCTCATGTAGCATTATTTAAGCTTGAGCTGATATTATTCTCTACACCAGAAAGTTAAAACTGTTACTGCGATGATGAGCTGCTAACATGTAAGAAGCGGCCACTTTCGTAGTGGCATCTTCAATGAAATCTTTTTGTTACGCTTGGCTTGTGAGCATTAATTTGTTCTGTTGTACTACATCTGTGTATTGTTTTGTTTATATCAAAAGTAATTTGGAGTGTACTTGTTGATTTTCAGGTGGCTGACAATTACTACCGACCGGACTTGAAGAAGGCTGCCCTTGCAAAGCTAAGTGCAGTTCACAGGAGCCTCAAAATTGGCAAGTCAGGTGTGAAGAAGAGGAACAGGCAAGCTGTTAGGAGCCGCGGTAGGAAGTGAAACAACAATGGTTTATAAGGATTTTCTTTTCTTCCATTCGAGCCCCCCTGTTTTTTACCCTGTTTTTTACCCTGTTTCCCATGTTCTAAAGCGACCCATTTGCAGGGCTTTTCATTATACTTTTTATGTACCCTACTTGAAAAATTAGGATTTTTGACTATTTTGGTTTATATCTGAGCCATCCTGCCATTTGGATTTTTGTTCCTTCAAGAGATTATACTAAATTTTAGCTTTAGAGCTACTATGCATTGTCTGTTCTTGGTCTTAAAATTCCTTTTTAATCATTTAGAAATCAAATCAATAGTTCAATGAATTAAAAGCTCTTCATATTAAAATCTATTAGGGTTGATGAATAGCTTGTTACAATTAATTTTACAGTATAATTATTTCCACAAGGGTTATATAAAAATTATTTAGTTTTCTAAAATATTGATTTTGTAAGGAATTCTTTAGATACATAAAATAAAAAATTTAGATAGATTGAAAATTTTAAAACGATGCAAATAGCGATTAGCCATATAATTTCATATTCCAAAAGTAAAAATAATATTAGGGGAAAACGAATGACCCGTATGAGATCCGTGAACCCGATGGGTCGACCCGAATGGTGCAGTGTTCCTTCTAATGTGTAATGTAGCTCTGATATTTCGGTTTGTCCGGACGAATTTCCCGCGCCTCGTCTTCATTATTCCCGCTCAGTAAACCCTAATCCAAGATGGGTCAGAAGCAGCAACCCTCTGCTGATCCACGCCCCGACACTAAGAAAAAACGTCGCGTCGCCTTCTCCCAAATCGGTAACTTCTCTTCTCATTCTCTCTTCTTCTCATTTCACTCAATTTCTTCCCTTCATTTCGTTAATTTTCAGCTTCTCCCTCCCTTGGTAGCTCACTGGAACATGTTCCCTTTTCTCTTTGTATCTCTGGCTATCGCGCAGATACTGGTATTCCCGCGAAAGATTGCATCAAAATCTATCTGGGTACGCCTATTTCCCTTTCTGCGCAGTTTGATTTAAGTGTAATTTTGTTTGAATTTGCCTGTGCTTCGTTTGAAATAGCTTTTTAACTCCGTGTATGTTTTGGAGTTCATGTGGTTCGGTTAAATTAAGCTATAAGAGACGTGTACTGAGTTGGGTTATAAATTCAAAATTATTGCTGCACTCTCTGTTTAGAGACGAAGTACGTGCATGAATTGGTTTGGTTTGAAATCCAATGCTTGGTGTTGCAAGAAAATGATTACTTAATTCAACTACAAAATGATTGCAGTTTCTACGAAAGAGGAAGTGGGAAGTACAGACAGTCTTTGCATTGACCCAGTTGACTTGAACAGCTTCTTTGAAGATGAGGATGGAAAGATTTATGGTTACCAAGGTTTGAAGGTAAACGCTTGGATCCGTAGTTTAGAGTAAATCTTTGAGCTTGTAGCGTATGTGGAATGATATATTTATCTAAAATGGATATAGCATGCGCTGGCTGTATTCTGAAATTCTATGTTTATTGCAGATCACTGTATGGTTCAGCATTGTCTCATTTCATGCCTACGCTGGCATTGTTTTCGAGAGCACATCTGATGTAAGTGCTTAAATGTTTGCATGACCCTTCAGGTTAATCTGATTCGATTAGTTACCCTCTCTCACTCTTTTTTCTTGTTCCTCTCTGAATGCATTAGTTCTTCCTGTTCTTCTATTTTTGGGCATTTAGGAGTGTAAATGTTTTTGATGCTTGTTATAGGGTGGTAAGGGCATTACTGATCTGAAGTCTGCACTTCAGGTGAGCATCTTGAAGTACATGATTTAGAATCCATTCATTTACTGGTACTTGAGGATTCTTCTGATAATTAAACACTGCTTTTTAACAGAATATATTTGCTGAGACCCTTGTGGACAACAAAGATGACTTCCTTCAAACATTTTCAAAGGATGCCAATTTTATTGGGTAATTCTCATTATCTGTTACGTCGTTTTTGTAGAGTCTTCCGTGTGCCTTTTTTAAACCTCAACATTGTACTCTGCTGTTCTCGTCTTGTCATTTTGGTTCATATCTTATCGATAATGTATTGTTCCCATTGTTAACTATATTGCAGATCCCTTGTTGCTGATGGAGAAGTATTACATCCTAAAGCTTCCTCCAACTGGCAATTTAACGAGGCTAAGTTTCATTTCCAAGCAGCTAATTCCGATTTGGAGGTGCTTTTCCTGTTTGAGTTCTATGTCACTCTGTTATAGTGAAAACTTGTCTCTTAGATGTTTTTGTGGTGCTGCTTCATGTTGTGTATGCCTTTTTCATTCTCAGATTCTTATTTCTCTGTAATTTTACGAGCTTTTTTCCTCATAGATTTTTGGCAGTTCGTTAATTTGGATCTTGTTTGTGAAAAAACTATAACGTTTATGTGTCGTTATGCCATTCTATAACGTTGTAGTAATCTGGGACCTATCCCATGCATCCTTCTTTATATAACTTCAAAGTTCAATGCTATTTAGTGTCCAGATGAATGCCAAGTTTCATGGTTTGTCTGATTACCTTCTGATCCAGGTGATCCGATTGCCTATGGACAAGATGGCTGGAAGAAACCTCTACAGTCGTTTGGTACCTCTTGCTCTTCTTCTTATTGATGGTATTTCATCCTTTGTTTTTGATATCTCATTTAATTTTGTCATTGGAATTTTGTTTTAATGTTTCAGAGACCGAGTAAGTATAGGGTTTTTTGTGTATGATTTATTTAGGCAGCAGCCCGATCGATGTCACTGATCCAAGATGGGAATTGTATGTTCTTTCTCAAAAGAACAATGGTCAAACTCATCCTCGACTGCGTGGATTTGCTGCCCTTTATCGTTTCTATCACTATCCCGATAGTTCTCGTTTGCGTCTGAGTCAGGTTTAGTACTTTCTGGAGCTGAGTTTAGTGAAGGAATTGTGGTTTTTATGCCTTCATTTGTTGTCATTGTCCTTGCACATCCATTTACTGATGCCTTGCATTTGTTCAGATACTTATACTCCCGCCTTACCAGAGTAAGGGGTTTGGACGTTTTCTTTTGGAGGTTCTGAATAACGTTGCAATATCGGAAAACGTTTACGACTTCACCATTGAAGAGCCTATAAGTAAGCTACAGCAGTTGCGAACTTGCATCGATGTTAAACGTCTGCAGGGATTCAGCCCCATCGAAGAGGCTTTCAGTTCTGCCGTTGCGCAATTTAAACTCGGAAAGCTATCAAAGAAGATCTCCATCCCTCCACTTTTACCGTCACCTGAGGCTATCGAAGCTGTTAGGAAAAGTTTGAAAATTACAAAGGAACAGTTCTCACACTGTTGGGAGATACTAATCTATCTAGGTATCGAACACGACAAGCACATGGAGGATTTTATTCTTGCAGTTTCAAGTCGAATGCGAGATGATTTGATAGGTGAAACCACAGACGCAGAAGGGAAGCAAGTGGTTGATGTTCCTACCGATTATGATCAAGAGATGTCGTTCGTGATGTTCAGATCAACAAATAATGCAACTGGCGTCGAGATGGACGAATCACGAGCTAATCAAGAGGAACAGCTCAAGAAGTTAGTAGATGATAGAGTGAAAGAAATCAAGTTAATTGCACAGAAGGTATCTTCGGATCAAATCCGAAGCATTTCGAAACCGTCCTAGAAGGAACTCTCTTTTCACAAGAATCAGTCCCTCTGATTAACTGGAAATGAACATTCGCTAAAACTGATAGCTTTAATATTTATGAAAATAATATATGGTTTAATTGTTGTATTTTATATTTATTATAATCTAACTTCGATCCAATAATTTTTTTTAATGTCTTGATATCTAAGATCTAAATTTTTTTAATGTCTTGATCGTTTAATCTCTTTTCTCCACAATATTTTACTTGAAGAAAAGTGTCTTATTCAAACAATTGCCGCAAGTGAAATGATTGTGAGAATCAAGAATGTTTCCATTGCCATTTCTGTCGTTGATACAGTGCGAGCTCTCCATTGACTTTGACCCGCTGATCTCCAAATTGAGTAAAATCTAACATATATATATATATATATATGTATATATAGAATTGGGCCCCCGTCGAAACCCGACTACAAAGCTTCCACATGCTTCTTCCTCTTTTCTCTACGGCCTAAAGTTTCCTCCCTCTTCGTTGTTGTTGTTGCTGTTGTTCTCCTCCGCCCAGAATTTGGGACTTGAGGGACATACGCAGACATGGATTTGCTTCCTGCGGAGACTTCACAGATACCGAAGAAACATCGATTCAGGTCCCTCAAATTGGTGAGCGTCGATTTGGATGCCGTCCTGGCCGAGAAGCCGTATGGTGTCGAATATGGCAAGCTCGACAATGGATTGTGTTATTATGTTCGATGCAATTCGAAGCCGAGAATGAGAGCGGCTCTTGCGCTTGCTGTCAAGGCCGGGTAATTTCTTCCTACTCTACTTTCGGTATCGGATCCTCCCAAAGTTACGACACTTGGAAGGATTAGTGTGATATCAAATTGAATTATACCTAGGGATTACGGAATTCAAGCCACCGTTAAAGTTCTAAATCAAATGTCGATCAGTTTATGAGAATGAAATGTTGCGTGCGATGTCTTTCGGTAGAGAATATGGATTTGATTTTACTAATTTTTTATCAATCAACATTTGCAAAAGATTAATGGTTTTTCATATAATCGATGCTTCGTTGTCAACTTATTGAATAACTTGCTTGCCTTGGAGTACTCCTGTTAGTCCATTGATATCTTTTTCTTTTCATAAGAACAAAATTTCGTTGATAATCATCGGGAAACATAAATTCTGCAGATACCTTCCTTGAGAGAGCGTCAATGATTTAGGAATCCGCATCTTTAAAAAACAGCATAGATTCTGCAAACCCAAATAATCTCTCTGCTCATACAGAAGCTGGAAGATTGAGTTCTTTAAACTATTAGGCCAAATAAAACTAAAGGCGAACACTTCCTAAAGTGCCCACCAGAGCTAGTTATTATACTGGCACTCAAGGTATATGTGCCAAACCGATCTCTTACTTCTGCAAAGAACAAAGTGATAATGGTGGAACACAGTTGAAGCTTGATTAATGGCTAAAAACCCAGATGAATTAGAGACGGTAATGGTCAAAACTTTGGATTAGAAGTGTACTAATGACATAAACTTATACTCCTATGCTTCAAGTACGAAAAGAAATAATCTTTGCTTGGTTTATTTTTAACATTAATATGTTCGCATATCCATACAATCATCATGTCAGATTCTTAATTAGATTATGTTTCTTCTCATTCAAACTAAAGTATATAAATTAGTCACAGACATACTAGTGAAACAAGCTGAATTATCAGGCTTCTGACAGGTCAGTTCTGGAAGAGGAGGATGAGCGTGGAGTTGCTCATATAGTTGAGCACCTTGCATTCAGTGCCACAAAGAAATATACAAATCATGATATTGTCAAGTTTCTTGAAAGTATAGGAGCAGAATTTGGAGCTTGTCAAAATGCTGCCACATCTGCTGATCACACAGTATATGAGTTATTCGTGCCAGTTGATAAGCCAGGACTGTTATCTCAAGCCATATCAATACTCGCTGAGTTCAGTTCTGAGGTACCTTGGTTGGTTATCCCCTTCACATTTTTTCCTCTCCAATTGGAATTTCTCTTTGCTGACTACCGCCTTTTACAAAGATTCGAGTTTCTCAAGATGATTTGGAAAAGGAAAGAGGAGCTGTTATGGAAGAATACAGGGGGAATCGCAATGCTACAGGAAGGATGCAGGACGCACATTGGGCTCTGATAATGGAAGGTTCAAAGGTAGTGTTCCTTGATTTTCCATTGATTCATTCATTTTTCTTTTTACCTTTCTTTACCTTTTTGTTCAGGACTAATTATCTAAGTAATAATATTTTCATCTGTTTCTGGTAACTTGATGTTATGTGTTTTATGTTGTCTCTAATGCTGTACTTGGGTGATGTCAGTATGCCGAGCGATTACCAATTGGCTTGGAAAAGGTAATTAAAACTGTGTCTGCTGAGACTGTGAAGAGATTTTACAGGAAGTGGTATGATCTGCATAATATGGCTGTGATCGCAGTTGGAGACTTTCCTGATACTCAGGTGTGTTTTATCAGCGTACAAGTTTTTGTATTGAGATCACAAGAGAATGTTTCCATTTGAAAATATCTAATGGCGACCCTACATCTTTAGAGCGTGGTCGAGCTGATAAAAGATCATTTCAGACATATACAATCTGCATGTGAACCTCCCCATATACCAACATTTCCAGTTCCATCACGTGATGAGCCATGTTTTTCCTGTTTTGTTGAATCTGAAGCTGCTGGGGTTAGTTCACTGTTAAACCATGGTGCAAAATTATTATTGCAGAGTTACGAGCTCAACAATTTGGCATCTGAAATGATTTACTAATTCTTTTTTTTTTTTTTTTTTTTTTTTTTTTTTTTTTTTTTTTTTTTTTTTTTTTTTTTTTTTTTTTTTTTTT